GCTACAGATCACTCCCCCCCTAGTGGGTTCGTGAGGACCCTAAGACGATACCAGCCGGAAGTAAAAACCCAGTGGTTTCTCCACTGGTAAAACTCTCCCGATGGGCTCACTGCGTGAGGTGGCCCCTGGTTGTCTGAACCTTATTCTAAAGTGTCGCGGCGATTAAATAAATAAAATACAATAAATGAAATTGCACGTCGGTCGCGGTCATCTGTTCCTTTCGACGTTCCGTCCAGTGCTCGTTGCACCTGGAATATAAATAAAAGTCTTTAATACCACGAAAACGTTGCGTAAAAATGGGAATTATTCATATATAAACATATCGAAAAATAAAAATTTACGCTTATCGTCGCCGGTTTTTTTTAGTTTTTATTACATGGTAAATAAAAATTGATATAAAAAGGCAAAGTGTACGAGGGTACGAGGTACTCTGGGAACCTGACGGTTCGACCTGATCGTGTTTTTTGTTGCGCCGCTGGTTGTTGCAGCTGTGCATTACCAGGCACATCGTCGAGAATTTCGATAATTGAGTCATCCGTCGGTCGGATGTAGCGAGCTGAAACGTCACTTACAATGGGGTTGCCTTCGAAATAAGCTGGTTTCAAACGGTCGATACTGACAGTATCTTCACGTCCGCCTCGCTCAATTACATAGAATTTCTCATGTCGCTTAATCACTTTGAACGGCCCGTCGTAGGGTGGTTCAAGTGGTCGACGAACAGCGTCGTGGCGAACAAACACGTGTGATGTCTTCTGTAAACTGGGGTGGACGAAAACATCAGTCGTTTGCGGTCTAATCGGAGAAGGCCTAACTGAACGCATTGCGTTTGTAAGCCTAGTCACGTAAGATGCCCTATCGGAAACATGTTTGAAAGTTGAAGGGGAAACAAACTCACCTGGTAGGCGAAGAGTGGTCCCATAGACGAGTTCTGCAGGAGTGCATCCAGCATCAACTTTCAACGCGTTACGAATACCTAGTAGGACTAGAGGCAGAGCCTCGGTCCACTGAGGTATGTTTGTAGCTGAAAGGGAAGCTTTCAGCTGTCGATGGAAACGCTCTACCATGCCATTTGCTTGTGGATGGTAGGCTGTCGTTCGGAACCGAGTGCAACCTAAAAGTGCCGTTAGAGCGTGAAATAGTCCGCACTCAAATTGGCGCCCACGGTCGGTTGTGACGTAGGATGGACATCCGAAGTTCGCGATCCATCTTTCGACGAAAACACGAGCAACTGTTTCGGCAGTAATATCTTTAATGGGTACTGCTTCCGGCCATCGTGTGAAACGATCAACACAGGTGAAAAGGTAGGTACATCCATTAGATTCTGGTAGGGGTCCTACAATATCTATATGGACGTGGTCGAAACGCATGTCTGGGGCTAGAAATGAGCCTAAAGGGCTTTTCGTGTGTCGCGTGACTTTACACTTTTGACAAGCTAAGCACGACTGGGCCCACTCCTTAACGTCTTTGTTCATCCCAGGCCAGCAGAAACGTTGTGCGATAAGCCTAATGGTGGCTCGTACACCTGGATGAGAGAGTTTGTGCAACGTATTGAAGACGTTGCGTCGACAACTCTTCGGAACTATTGGGCGTGGTTGACTAGCAGAGACATCGCACAAAATTGCATCCTTGTCTGATCCAACAGGACAAAGTCGCAGTTTGAGAGTTGTGGACGACAACTCATGATGCAGCTCAAGGTCTTCCTTTTGACGCCGAGCTAGTTCAACGAGATCAATACCCTCGATATAGTTTATCGAAGCTATTCGAGATAGTGCGTCGGCTGCGGAGTTGTTTGCTCCAGAAATGTGGCGGATGTCTGACGTGAACTGGGAAATGTAATCCAGCTGTCGCGACTCACGAGGGGAGTATTTGTCAGACGCCGAGCTGAGGGAAAACGTTAACGGTTTGTGGTCTGTGAAAATAATGAAATCACGACCTTCCACAGAATGTCGAAAATGGCGTACAGAACAGTACATGGCTAGGAGTTCCCTACCAAATGTACTGTATCTTGTTTCCGCGTCTTGCAGCCGCCTCGAGAAAAAGGCTAACGGTTGCCACTGGTTGTCAGTCAACTGTTGCAAAACTGCTCCAATTGCTGAATCAGATGCATCAACAGCAATACTCAGAGGAGCATTGGGGTCATGATGCATAAGCATGGTTGCGTTCGAAATGGCTTCCTTGACTTTGGAGAAAGCAAGTCTAGCCGCGTTGTCCAGAGACACGAACTTCGCAGTTCCTCGAAGTAGATCTGTGAGTGGTCTCATGACAGAGGCACAGTTAGGGATAAACCTTCGGTAATAACTTACCAGGCCATTGAAAGTGCGGAGATGTTTCACAGTGGTCGGCTCTGGATAGTTTGTGATAGCCGCCACTTTATCTCTCAATGGGCGTATACCTTTGTTGTCAATGGTATGCCCAAGGAAGCTGAGTGATTCAACTCCTATTTCACACTTCTGTAAGTTAACTGTGATGCCATGTTTTTTGAGTCTTTCGAATGCGAGGTCCAAATGTTTAAGGTGTGTTTCCTTATCTGGACTCGCAATTAGACAGTCATCGATGTAGACATGAACAAAATTCAGACCACGGAAGACGTCGTCCATAAAGCGTTGGAATGTTTGTGCTGCATTCCGAAGACCAAAAGGCATGCGCAGGAATTCAAACAGGCCAAAAGGAGTAATAATGGCTGTTTTCGCGATATCTTCTGCTGCCATAGGTATCTGGTTGTACGCTTTGACTAAGTCGATTTTCGAGAAAATGTTCATGCCGCATAAGGTTGCGGTCAAGTCGTAAACGTGGGGTATAGGGTAGCAGTCCGGAGTTGTTTTGGCGTTAAGCCTTCGGTAATCACCGGTCGGACGCCAGTCGTTGCTATCCTTTTTGGGCACCATGTGCAATGGCGATGCCCAAGGACTGTTCGACGGTCTGATAATGCCCAGTTCCAGCATATGGTCGAATTCATTTTTCGCCGTTTGCAGCTTATCGGGGGCTAAACGGCGAGCTTTGGATGCCACAGGTGGACCTGTGGTTGTGACGTGATGCATAACATTGCTGGTTATGCACGGAAGAGTGTGTTTCGGTTGTTGTAACTCTGGATATTTCTCCAGAACTGCCTGGTAGGACGCGTCGCCTGATTGTTTAGTCCTAACGATGGCTAAACTCGGACCTACATAGGTGGTGCCGCCAATAGATAACTTTGTGTTGTTATCTATCAGTCGTCGACGGCGAGCATCTACGAGTAGATCGTAATGGTTCAGCAAATCTATGCCAATGATGGGCATAGAGACGTCTGCCAGGAGGAAAATCCAGTGAATAGGTTTGCGTAAACCTAAGTTGAGGTAGGCATACCGTCTCCCGAATGTCGCGATTGCCTTGCCGTTGGCTGCTTGAAGATTGAAGGATGGGTCGAGATGACGCTCCTTTGTCGTTGCTGGAAGAACGCTAACTTCTGCGCCGGTGTCGACGAGGTAGCGGACTTTCGTTTTAATGTCGGTGACGTAGAGCAAACGGCTTTTTCCGCCGGCTACGGTTGCCGTGAGCACGTGCCGGCGTGACCGTTTCCCGAGTTTGGGTCCTTCTTAAAACGGCATGGTTTACGACATTTTCTGGCTTCATCCCCGTAAGTGTTATGAAACCAGCACCATTCAGGGTTTTCCACCCTGTTGGGTTTCGTTTTAGGGCTACCACGCGACTTGCTGCGATGCGCCAAGGTGCGTTTCTGTGAAGTGCTACGTGATCTAGGACTTCGAGATCGTAGCAACCGTTTCACAGAGTTGCACAACTTGGTCACCTCCGAATCCTGGCGCTCTGTTTTGTCGCAGATAGAATATACGTTGGAGACGGGTCTGCTGGATATCTCCAGTATTTTATCTGCTGAGGCTGCCAGGTCGTCGAGTGGGACTGACTGGAGTGTCACCAACACGGTTTGCACCGGTTGTGGTAGTTTCGAGAGAAATAGTTCTCGGAAGAAACCATCGTCAAATGTTCGTGCACCGATTACTTCTCGCATGCGTGCGAGGACTTCAGTAGCTGAGTGGCTGCCTAGCTCGATGTTACGAAGCAATTCGTCTAGACGTTGGCGATCTGTGAGATCGCTTTTCTTCAAGAGTGCAGCCTTTAGAAGTGCATAAGGGTCACTTACTTCAGGATTAAACATGTTTGCTGTAACAAACCTGTTTAATTCTCGCGGTAGTGAACGTATGACAGCAAGAAATCGAGATTGAGGATCTGAGACACCCTGTTCTCGAAAATCGGCCTCGGCATACAGAAACCATGTTTCTGCATTGTCTGGCCAATATGGCACGAGTTGGATCGTGTTCGAGGTCGGCTTAATACGAATAAGCTTGGGAGTGTGGTCGGACATGAGAAAGTGTAGTAAATGGATATATAAATGTTATCGAAATGAAAACAATAAACAAATATAAAATGGAACAGGCTCACCAATTCAATACTTGTTATTGGTCGGGATATGTGATCACGTCGGGCTCACCAATTTAGGATTTGTCCTGGTGCGAACTTGACAGACGCAAAGACCAATCACTAATTATTCGAACTTGTTATATACCCACGAATACGAGACCAAGGAAGAACACGATAGCGTAGTCGGATGGAATAGTATATTTGGATGGTTATGCCAAAATACCGATGCGTTCCAACTAACTGGCTAGAGAGTCGAATACGAGCAATGCAACGTAACACGACAGCGTGCCAAATGGCGAGGATGCTTGACCGGGTGCCTTCAGCTTAGCGAGTCCAGTTAAACTATCAAGGTCAGCATCAATGTCGAAGTCGTCAAACCCTAGGCTATTGATTTTGGGGAAGTGTATGACGCTACAATTGCATTCAGTGAAAACGAGACGTCACTTGAGATAGGTCCCGCAAGGATAAATACAGATCATAAGCACACTATCCTTTCCACTGTATACTGTTTGAATCCGTCATAGTAAGCAAAACTTTTCTTACCACGGTTTCAAACTAAAGGTCGTGTAACGTGAAACCGCTGTCTCATGTGTTGGAAAGAATCATCTTTGATGTGTGTGAAATGCATATTACTGTGCTTGAATATTGTATTTATTCTTATTGGCCTGTCATCCATCGCTATCGCTTGCTGGGTGTTATTCTGGCCCCAAGCCTTTTTAGATATGATTGGTCCTCATTTGTTGAGAATATCAGCATACTCCACAATATCTATTGGTGGAGTCATTTTACTGCTATCAATTCTCGGGTGTGCCGGTGCTGCCCTTGAAAACCGATGTATTTTAGTTACGGTATATTTGACGTTTTTGTTATATTATGTCACAGTTCTTCACGTTGCTGTGTGGTTTGTTCATGGCTTGTTTAGTTATTGGAACGTTGGCAACCGTGTTCAGAAGAGATGTAAGTGACGCTTTCATAACCCTATGGTGTTTTCAATAAAAAAACTGAATTTTCATGTTATACATGTATGTAGCATGCACTCTCTTCTGTGAACAGATGTCTCAGTCACCAAACCTTACACTTGCAAGCTATCCATTGCTTTCAAGGAGGTAGGCTCATAACATCACCATTTAAATGGAAGAAATATGTTTTCAAGACCCAGGTTTCTTGCTTGAAGATAGGAGGCTGTGAGAATACATATTAATCCTTTTCCAGTAGATTTCTGTGCTTGTCTAATTCCCTTTTGAACGAGCCAATTGATGATGCAGACACCACCTCCTCCGGGAGTCGGTTCCAAAGGTTGGCCACTTGACGCAAGAACCAGTACTCTGCGGAGACTATGTTCGTTCTTTGCTTTTGTAGTCTCCTACTTCGTCCTCTGAGTTGTTCCGACCTAGTGGGAAAAAAGAGAAGATAGATCAGTTCCGAAGTCATTTCTTAGAATCCTGTATAGCATGATTAGATTTCCCTCTCTGTCTGCGATAGGATAAAGTGAAGAGGTTCACCTCCTTAAGTCGATCTTCATATATGAGGCCAGCCATCGCAGGGATCATATGAGTGGCTGCTCTCTGAATTCTTTCGAGAAGATCTGCGTCACCTTTCAGACAAGGATTATTTGTCTGTGTACAGTTTTCTAATTTAGACCTCACTAAGGATGTGTATAAGATGGTAAACATGCAACCACTTATTTTCGTAAACGTTCTACGTAATGCCCATAGAGGGTTGCTACCAATCGACTGTGAGGCGTGGTTTTCAGGTCATAAATCACTGTGACTTCTAGGTCGTTGTGGGTCAGTACTGAGAGTAAAGGAGTCCCATCAATATTGTAGGTGTTACTATGTGTGCTCGAAGTGCATTCTCACACATTTACCTGCATTGATAATCACTGGCCACTTCTTTGACCAGATAAACGAGCTGTTCAGGTCTGCTTGGAGCGTATTTATATCATCGTTCCTAATTTCTCGCCATACTTTTACATCATCAGCATAGAGGACCATAGGGGATTTCGTGATATTTAGCAGCTCATTTACGTATAGTAGAAACAGCTGGGGGCCCGAGACTGTGCCTTGCGGCTTCCAATTAGAGAGTAGAGAATTGATCCTAATTCTCTGTCTCCTACCGACAAGAAAGTCTCTTATCCATGCGAGTAGATTGCCAGTGATTCCAAAACTTTCCAGTTTCCCCGAGCAACCTGGAGTAAAGTACTTTGTCGAAGGCCCTACCAAAGTCAATGAAAATGACATCTACAGATATCCTATCGTCTTTAGACTTAACCCAACTTTCTCTGACCGTAAGAAAGTTCGTGAAGCAAGAGGAATTTCTACGAAAACCGCGCTGTGAACGAGACAATAGAGTGTCGCTCTCTAGATGGACTGTGATGGCTTTATTGATTACTCTTTCTAGGATTTTCACTACGGTACTAGTCAAACTTATCGGTCTTTAATTTGATAAGAGCTACCTAGAACCTGACTTGTGGATTGGTGTTACTGTGGCATCCTTCCAGTCACAGGGGAGTGTGCCTTCACTGAGAGACAGCTTGAATATAGTAGTCAGTGGGCCGACTACATAGAGTGCAAGCTCTCTAATCAGCCTTTGGTGCAGCCCATCCGGCCCCGTTGATTTTTCTAAGTCGAGATTACTTAATATCCGAAATACACCATTGCGATCGATATCCACAGAGTTTATTCTGTTGGATGTCAATGCTTCCACTGTTGGATACGTGTTCACAGGAGATTACTGTGCCAAGACCTCAGCAAAATATCTAGCTATGGCTTCTGCTTTTACCTTATCGTCCTCAATCAAACAGTCAGTTTCGGACCCATTGATTAGGACCAGTATACCACGACACATCTTATTTCTATAGTTCATATAGCTAAAGAACCTTTTCGGATATAGCAATACAGCCTGGGCAAGACATGTTTCAAAGCGTACTCGGTACCGGTGGGTAGCAGCGATACATTTATTGAGAGCTTCTTTGTAATGCTGCACTATTTCGGATGTACCAAGGTGGGTGGCAAGGCTCCAACACTTTTTCTTACGTCGTAGAATGATTCGGACTTCGTGGTTTATCCACTGAGGACGGTGTTTCCGTCCCCTCGGGACAGTGCACGGAATGAACGGTTGGGTGACAAGTGCATATAACTGTTTGAAGGAGCACCATGCACCTTCAACTGAGGCTCCTAGATTGACTGTTCAGTCCCCCAAAGAGGCCGCCAGGTTAATAGCTTTCATATTCGCTTTCCATTTATTGGGTCTAGCCGGGGAATCGGCCTGGTACAAGACGTCTGCTGTGAATCCGAAGATGATCACAGCGTGATAACTTTTTCCAAGGTTTCTGGGTGCCGGATGAAGAATATATCATCTATATATGAGAATATTCAGTTTAGAATTGATGCAGCATTGTGATGATTACATCTGGTTGGTGTCCTAATGTATTGTATGAGGGCTAAGGAAATTGATGTTTCCACTAACTTGTAGTCAAACGAATTACGTGGTTCTTCTGTTGTTAGTCCATCCCAGTCAACTGATGGTGCATTGAAGTCTCCAACAACTAGACATTGACATTTGTCTGCCCAGAGGGTCAGCTTATTCAGGAGGAAGTCTGCTGTCTCACATTCAGGGCTTCGATATACTACGATTACGTCAACATCTTGTCCCTTGCATTTTAGTCGTCAGCGCAGCATTTCGATGTCCCACTTTCATGTGCAACTTTTTCCACGGCTTTTACAGTTAGGGTATTCTTAACGTAAAGGATGATACCACCTCCTTTGCGTGCTAACCTATCACTTCTTGAAGTGACCAATCCTCTTAAGTGTGTTTCACGGTCATTGATCCAAGAAGAGAACCAAGTTTCTGAGATAGCAGTGATATCAGGGCTTTCGTTGCTTATCACATAACTAAGCTCAGCCCACTTGTTTAAAAGACTACGTGCATTTGTGTACAAGGCAACGAAACTACTTAAATGAGTTTCTATCCTATCCATAGAGGCTTCGGTACACGAAATCCCAGCTGCTAATCTGGATTTTAGTTCTGCTTATGCTTCTCATTTTTCGATTCGATCAGCAAGAGCCAGATTCTTTCACACGAACACTCTATATCCTTGAAGTCTGTGAGCACTCTTCAGAATCTGATCCCTCTCATCTACTGATTTGAACACGACTTTAAGTAGTCGAAACTTATTTTCGGTAATGACTGTCTCCTGTTTTCCTGCTCTATAAATTTGAGTAGGGTGACTCCTGGCATGTTTTCCGGTAAAAACTGGTTTATCAAACTTTGTACCTCACCAAGACCGTGTTCCAAACGTTTATGTGGTTCTAGGTCTCTACTTTCTTTCACTCTGTGGAAGATTACGGATTTGCCAAGGCTCTCTACTTTGTATTTTCTCTGTGGAGTGATGACAGCTGGTTCGGTGATCGTTATCGGCTTTTTAGCATGCCTTTTAGACTTAGTTACTCGGCATTTTTCAGAGTCGGGTATGGAAGGTTTACGAAAGCCTAGTCCGGTGACCTCGACGCTGAGAACCTCAGAACGGAATTGCATCCCATTCTGTTTAGTTCTTGTCAATGATTGGGTCACCGGACTGGGTATGACCTGCGGCCTGAATGGTTCCGTCGTTGGCACTGAGAGCGCTTCACTCCTGTTCTCTTCATCTGAAGTAGATCTAATCTTACCACCAGCAGTTTTCAAACTGGGTCTACCAGGTCCGGGGATGCGAGAACCAGAAGATACTCGCTTCACCCTGCTTGATGTGGTTTTTTTCCAAGTTACTGTCAGCAAACCTAGTAGGTAGTATACGTGCTCGACTTACTATTCATCGTGGGACGTTCTAAAAATTTTGCACAGCAATCTGTTTGTCAATGGATACTGTGTCGTTGTCACTGTCACAGTTATCGACTTTGACTTTCAACGATAGTTTCTTAATTATCTTATTAAGAAGTGTTTTTGCTTCTCCTACCAGAGTGTGAATATCTGAGCAGCATAACGTACAAAGCCAGACACTTCCTGCGTTGCTGTTCCTCTTATATGTTGAGGTTGTGAGGCTTGTGCAGTTATTGTGGAACCAACTCTTACATTCGCTACGCTGCATATCAGAGGCCAATGTGAAGTGGTACATGGCCTTACCACAAGCATTTTAATGACACTTTTGGCCCATCATGTAGCAAAAACTACCAAAATTCACGCAGCAAAAGTTCCTGTCTCACTTTAGTCGACTAATATTCTGATTAGAGCAGAAATAAATCAGCTTTTGATGTGTGAATACAAAAAATGCAAAGAATCTAGCTGAACATGAAGAGTCACTCCCCTTTTCAAACAGCCCGTGAAGTGTTATGTAGGAGAACAAAAATATGTCTTTATTAGCCAACAACTGTTCTTCTGTATTATTTGCATATGCGAATAAGTATGTGAGCTTTTCTTTGGAGGTATGGCACTTCATACCTAAATTTTATTTCGTCATAGATTGCTTTCTCAGGGTACGGTCACTTATGAGTTGTTGATATTTCCCTATGAAAATCACTGATCACAATGGTCAGACTGGAAACGTAAGTGTCGGAAACCAGCATGAAGCGTTAAGTTTTGAAGAGAGTTAAGGGAACCGAGTAATGTGCATAGACTAATCAAAAGAGTCTTAAAGCTTAAGGCTTATTTTACCTGGAGAAAAAGCGTGAATAGTCCGGTCATTATTTATGATGGTAGGTTATTGACATGTAATAATATTTCAGTTCCGAAGTTTTCAATAAGGTAAATGTACTATCTGAGAAATTTTCTTTATGACAGATTACATGCCACTGAGATCTTTTTGATGGGCAAACTCACCCTCGGGTGATATTTTAGGAAGTGTCCTGGTGCGAACTTGACAGACGCAGAGGCCAATCACTAATTATTCGAACTTGTTATATATCCATGAATATGAGACCAAGAAAGAACACAATAGCGTAATTGGATGGAACAGTATATTTGCGAGGTTGTACTAAGATACTAATACGTTCCAACTAACTAGCTAGAGGGTCGACTACGAACAGTAAAACCTAACACGACAGCGTGCTAAATGGCTTGGAAACTTGACCAGGTGCCTTCAGCTTAGCGAGTGCAGTTAAACTACCAAGGTCAGCATCAATGTTGAATGTCGTCAAACCCTAGGCTATTGATTCTGGAGAAGTGTGTGATGCTACAGTATGATTCACTTAACATTTACGATTTTATTATGGTTGTAGATCATAGCTAATAACATCATATCTTATTGAAATATGTTCGATCAAACACAGATTCTTCTTGTATTTAGTCTCAATTGAAGGAAGAAAAAAGATCTTGGCATAAAGCTTTTAACATCTTACTACTTAATTTACGTAATACATGCATAGGTTGAGTGATGAAAGAATATTCGCACATTCATTTGAAATAAATGCATGTTAGACGGATACGGTATCACCTTAACAAGTTACTGACTTTCTTTTTCAAAAATGTCATACTTTATTTTCATAGAAGACTATATATCAGGGATAGATAATTTTTATCCTTTATTTTATCACAAATTATCACCAATATTTATACCAAACATTGAATCTTACCCACCCACTTATTTAACATATGTAGGGTTTGTTGTCAGTATCTCTAGTGTTTATTTTGTGAATTGAGTCCATTTACTTCTATAGTCATTTATAAACGGTACTTATCTTACTTATAGTGCAATACTTTATATTTTTAAATGGTAAATCATTTCACAAGTTTTAGTTTTTTTTAATTTCTAGTGGTCGCTTACACTTTAATCGAAAATTTTCCAGACCTAGAGGGTTAAAGCTAAAATTAATTTATTGACAGAATATAACATTTTAAAGCTAGACAAATATACAGTGGGATAAATAAGTGACTTTCTGAGAAAAACGAAAAATTTATCATTGGCCTATATCCATATCAGTAGCCTCCTTCACCTATCTAGCAAGCACTGTTTCAACTACAGTCGGCACAGGCACAGATGAGGATGTCAAAGTCAGAATCGAAAAAGCAAGACGGGCGTTCGTTAACCTGAAACCAGTGTGGAGATTTTCGGCACTCAGCACAAAGAACAAGACCCGGATTTTCAATACCAATTCAGTCAAGTCGGTGCTTCTGTTTGGCTCAGAGACTTGACTCGTCACAAAAAGCACTTCCAATAAACTACAGATATTCATCAACAACTGCCTACGCTTGCTACTGAAGATCAGATGGCGAGAAAGAATAAGCAACAAGGAACACTGGCTGACCAACGAACCAATCAAGAACCCATCGGTCAACAAATATGCATTGGAAGGAAGTGGAGATGGATTGGGCATACACTGAAAAGGCCGACTAGGGACATCATGCTTCAGGCTCTCGAGTGGAACCTTGATGGGAAGCGACGAGTTGTGCGTCTGAGCTGAGGGTGACATAGAGGAGGTCGTGCGAGGAGGAAATGAGAGCTTGTGGGCTGTCATGATGCCAGGTTCAAAAGATTTCAGAGAACAGAGGTCACTGGAGGCGTGCTACTAAAGCCTTACGTTTCATTAGGAACCCAAGGGACAAATAAATAAAATAACCAAATACCCATATCAAAATAGTTATACAGCGTACTTTACGAGAGATAAAAGCATTATGAATAACTGAAAGGGGTTTAAGAAAGGTAGATAGATAAACAAAGTATCCATGAAATGTTTCATACCCTATCCAAGTCATATAGGCCTCATATCATCTTCATGAGTCAGAAAGATTATCTCACATGAACTTGATTCTGAGGAAGAATTCATTTAGAGAGAATCACTGCACAAAATAACTAATATGCTAATCAGAAAAAGCTATGAAGGAGAGTGTATGCAAAGTTCTTATATACGAATGTTCGAAATTCTGCTAAAAAGTGAGGAAAATTGATAAGGTATCAATATATTTTAAATTTTTTAGTTACCTCCAAATATGGATTGATGATTGAACGATAAATACTTACTTTTCAGCTGATCATACTGATGGTTAACCGGATGAGTATCGCTGTACAACAAGAATATGGAACTTCTGAGTTTTGGACGGAATTATTGGATCTTTTCCAAACAAGGGTAGGTTTAAGTTCTTGTACACATGTGAAATTACCTGCATTCTCATTATTTAAAGTAACCTTATACTATTTATATGAACTATGATTAAAATTTGACCGAATAGTATGGCAAATATTGGGTGCTGAACAAAAGATTGATATTAGACATAGTTTGTATTTGTGTAACTCAGCGTGGTTGGAATGAAATAATTCCAACGTTTCAAACACAGTGATTTACACAAATATAAGCTACGTATCAAGCTTTTTGTTCATTTTAAGATGGTCTACCTCGATAAATGATAGCAGACGTATTTAAACCACCAATGTTAAGCTGATTATAGTAAGATTTATCTACCAGAATGAAGGTTTTTATCGGTTATTCGGCTTTTTAGTGGGTTGTTGTATAGTAATTTGTGTTTTATGTTACCTTCACCTATAGGATATATTGGAATATCACAATGCAAATAAATTTTGCAGCAAATATAGTATTTCATCACCTTCTACCCGGCTACTTACAGTCTATGACTAATATTTACTGGATACAACGATTAAAGATAATTGTATTTCATAGTCCACTAGAAGGCAGTTTGAAAGATTGAGGTGTAGGGCTACAGTAAAATAGTTAGGTATTAAGTGGAATGATAATTTCAGAGTTAGCATGAGAGTCAGTCACAAAATAATGAGTATAACTCAAAGTAGTAGAAGGATACACTTAATTAAAGACTGATAGGTTTTCATCACTTTCAAAGCGGGAAAAAAGGCAAAGGGAAGGTAAAAATATACTGGAAGTTATTCACCATGATTCACTAATGAGGCACTACTTAAAGTCTAATATTTTCATTGAAATAGCTTCTAAAAAAGAAGCAAGGTGGGAGTAAACAGCTTATAAGGAAATAGAATGTATTTTAGATATATGATACAGTGATACAGTACAATTGAAAGTTGTTATAACGAACTATTATGAAGAGAAAAAGTGACCTTTAATACACTAGTTTAGATTGTATAACCACAAGACTATAATCTATTGCAATTATCCAACTTAAAGTCAGGACCAGAATCAGATAGTGGAGTATCAGAATTTCGATTTTTCGGTAGTAACTTATAATTGTGAATGCTCCGAATTCAATGTGATAGTAAAATTTGAGAGTTGTACAGTATAAGTGTAGATTAGGTTACTATATTATACATAACACATACTCATTCAGTATTATTTACTGAATGATATTTGTAGAGAATTTATTACTCAGAATTCTGGCAGGGAGAGTTCAGTTAATTAACTTCAAAATAATAAAACAGCTCCTGTGTTGAATAGCCACAAATAACAAACAAAAGGTATTTTTTAACTTGGGTTTCGTGCTTTCTACCGATTGCTTCCAATCAACTAACATCAACTAATTTGCACCGCGATGCTGAGCCTCCTAACTTGGTGGTCCCATTGCAAATATGATCGATAGGATTCAGTCTGCACTCAGGATTAGACAACATGACCAATCAATACATTTTAGGAAATACAAAAGCTGTGGTTTCTCCTCTACTCGTAATGGAAACATTATTTGCATAGAAAGAATGAGTTGAAGTTCAGCTGCATGAAAGATTATCCCTAAGGAAGGAGATGAGTGGTTTCATTATATATTCACCAATGAGTCTATGTTGAACTGTTTAAACTAGTGTAAATATCATCTTCATAATTTCCCATTATCGAACTGCATTCACATAAATGTCAGCTGGACAGAGGCAATCGGCAGGAAGCTCTGAATCTAAGTTTCATGCTGTTCGACACTTGTTGGCAATGCTTATCTGCAACCCGTTGAAACTGTTGCCTCACCTGAGGTCAATAGCAGCCCAAGTAGCTCATTGGTAACGTTTCTGACAGCAGCATTAGGCGACATGAGCTCGAATCTCAGGTGGAACATCATTTCCGTGGAGGTTGTACATACGCCTTACTGAAGAGTGCAGAATAGCACGAAAAATAGGTCCGGAATCTGTTACTCATTGACTGCTTTCAACAGACATCTTTCTCTGTGCATCCCGATGGGGAGTCTTCTAGCCTGGTGACAACATTCCAAAGTGATTGGTACAATCCAATTAGCACATCGGACTAGAGAGTATGGAGTTGGCTACCCTCTGGTGATTAATCAGTGAACTGTAATCCCTTCTTTGTATTATATAACACCAAACAACTTAATTACTTACCATCTTAATGTTTCACTTTTGAAGAGGGAAATGTTTATTAAGCCTAAATCGTGAAATTTCACCGCCTTGGGTGATTTATTTATTAAAAATTTCGTTACTTTATACAAAAAGCTGATTTTACACTGAGTTTTCTGAGTGGAAGATACCTATTAGTGAGGATGAGTTTCAATTTAATTGCCAGACGTTATCTTTTATAGTTACTAAGTGTTACGTAAAAATTAGCTCCGTGAAAAATGATGGAAATGTTTTCTCAAATGACAGACTGCAGATAATTGTGCTTTGATTAGAGGATCAGTTTAAAAGGGCTGTATTGTAAACGGCTTCCAAAGATAATTTGAATTATTCACAAAGATTATCAATGAGGAGAGTCTTACTACTTGATGCTATCTAAAGTAAACGTAAACAATTCTTGTGATGTGTTTGAGAAAGAGCATATATCCTTCGAACAAGCCACATGGGTGTTCTTAAATAATTAAAATAAAGATGCTAGATGCTTAGAGAACTATGAATATACGAGTAGAAAACTGGGCATTGTGTAATTTCATTATAATTTACAAATCAGATGTGTCACACAATGAAATATTACTTACTGGATAACGTTTTGTATACAATTTATTGTTCACAGTCATATGAAGATAACTCCAAAAATTTGAGATTGTTTGTGCAACCCGACTGCATTCTCCTCCCTTGTGATATGGGTGTTGGAATTTCGTACTTATCTGGAACAGATGCTAAATTATTTCTATTGCGCGTACAACATTAGTTTCGGTAGATAAGACAGTTTACAGATGAAATACCACTCCAATGTGTGCTAAAACTAAAAGGATGAAAAAAAGAGACTGAATTGAACACAATCAGAAATGGAAGCTCCATAAAGTCTCCAAAATGATAACAATATAGTAATTATCAAATTAGATAAGGGTAAACTAACAAGTGTGTTGGAAAACTCTGATTACATTCAAAAGGTTAGCGAACATGTAGAAATAGGAGTAAATGAGGAAATTAAAAAGCCAATGGACACTAACTATTATGAGTAACATCAGGAAATTCACAGTAGATCAAGGTGCACTGAATGAAACTATTTCTAGGTATGTCATAAAGGCTTAATTGAATGCCAAAAGCTAATATTCTTAGTAGAATTCATGATATCATTAAGGCTCATAAACCAGCTTATCCCATAAGACTCATACGACATTTTTGAGATACTCCAACTTATGAGTTGTCAAAATATTAATTGATGAAAATCATCCTAAACCTAAACTTAATAACTCATATAACTTGAAGCATACCATATACAGTTAGATAACAGCAGAAGAATGGTTATTTTTGATGTGACTAGCCTTTCAACCAATTTATTAATCAACATTACTGGCGAAGCAGTTCAAAATGCACTCAGTGATGACCATGAGCTTTAATGTCAAACTAAGGAATTATTCTAGAAGTACAGTTATGTCTTATGTTTACAGCTTTTAAGTTTCAAAATATGATAAATAAACAAAAGGATTTAGATGCGGTCACCAGTAGTGCCTATTTATTTATGGATATTTGGCAACGGATAGATTGAAAAAATTTAATCCTTCTGTAAAGATGTTTTATGATGTGTAAACGAGATACTTACAGTACTGAATTTGTGGTTTATAAATAGGTAATTTACACAGATCAATTCATTTGTGAAGGAGAGTTAGCTATGCTAGATTTCAGGTTAAGATGAAACCAAGATGGGTGTTTAAACATTAGTGTCTGTTCAAAACATTCCCACTTAAATAACTACTTCAAACACTTCATATCATCTCCTTGTATATCAGTTAACGTAGGCTTGGTTGGATTTCAAAGTAACAGGGCAAAAAAGCTTTTTGATAGGACAAAGAATATGGGGCAATAATTTGAACAAATTATAGGTACTTTGCGTTTGAATAATTTTTTACTCACATATATCATTTATTTAAAAAGAAATTTCAAGAAAAATATGATCAGTAGTCGTAGCGCAAGTGTTAATCATAATGATAGAAATTATGACGTTGTTAAGAGGGGATTTAAAACCTCTACTGTGTTACTATACAAAGAAGGCATTTCAGAACTGCTACATTAGACTTTCAGTGATACCAGGATTAGAGTGACATTTTAATTTAAGAAATCACTTATGAATAAGCTTTTTAGGTTAGAAGATACCACTCATCCATTTTAGGAAAATAATTCAGTTTACCGAATCCACTGAAAATAAAGTCAAATAGTTTGGTCAAAGTAGTCAGCCAAAGTTAATTAGGCTTTCCCAGCATGAAAAAACTGTTACATCAAGATTGTTAGATCTGATTAGGCTAAGGAATCTGAAGAAAAGGTCAGTTACAGCTTACAACTGAACACACAGCGATAGTACTAAAAACTAACTTATTTGGGTCGAGTGAGTGATTGATAAACCAACCTTTGTTTGATTCCAAGTTAGTATTCATCATAGACTAAGACCAAACGGAGGAACGCTGGAAACCTGAAAGCACTGTCCATTTTCTGTTTCGTCCTAGTATGGGACTCATCAGCAGTGGACACCCATGACCCCGTGCTCGAAGACGTCGAACCCAGGACCTTCAGGTTCTGCGGTCAGGACATTACCATCGAGGCAGCAGGTCAAAATCTAACGGTCCAACTTGAAGCTGATCTATAAATCTCCACGAACCCTTAAATCGAATCAGTCTAGTGCTTATCGGTGACTAACTTCAAGAGGTGATTCCCGAAGTTACTATGTAAGTCATGACCCGTGGGGCAAACTGGGTGGACATGAGGACAAATACTTAGCGATGAAATTGAACGACGGTCGCGCTGAGTCGTGAACTGACA